AAATATATGAAAGACACCAGTCATCAATGAAGTAGAGTAGAGACAGAACAGTATAAATTTATTTAAAACTCTGCACATCAGCGGCAACTCTGAGCTACTGATGAATCCAACAACAAATGCATTTTTGTTCAATACTGTTATATTTTATGGCTCACATGAAACGCTAACGTGAGATTCCAGAGCACTATTCCCACAAGTGTAGCTGTTCTGACTGTTTCCATTTTCTCCAGCTTCCTCATATCCTGAGAAGAGGTTGCTTTCTGGGCTTACAGCCAATAAGGCAGCCATGCAACCGGCACTTGTTGATCCCATGTGGCTATCATTCTCTCCAAGGGAGAGTTGCAAATCTGTTTTTTCTTTTTCCTTTTTTATTGCAGCTGCTGCTGCAGCAGCCGCCGCTGCTTTCTTCTCCTGATGCATGTCTTGATACACTTGATGCATGATAAATTGTGTTGTATTTCGAGGGGCTCGCATCCCAGGAGCTCTCCACTCACACAGATTCATTGGACGGAGCCGTCCCTTTATTGCAGTACGCATAAATGCCAACAAGCGCTGTTGTCTGATGAAACGCTTTCGACCAATTTTATGATGCCTTTTCTGCCAGAACGTACAGAATCTGGGCTTTCGCTGGTGAGCTGCAATAGGGCAATGCTTCATTTGCTTCTTGTTCTGTGATCTTGTTCCCCTCCAATAGCTTTTTTTCTTCTTCCACAATCCACCATTTCTAGAAAATCTACAATTCTTCCATTTTGAGGATAAATTGCCTTTGTACTGCTGAATTTTAGTATTATAATGATTGCAATGAGATGATCTAGGATTGTATTTTCCTGCATTTGCTACTTTCCCTGTCATCACAGGCCACTGATTGTGATATCCTTGTTGCAAAGACAACTGCAGATAACATAGTCGTCCTTGTCTCCACATCTTAGCTGGAAAATGGTGGGAACCTGTTCCAAATAGGACCTTCTCCACCTTTTATATTTGCTGCCTTGCCAGGATCTCCTTACTAAGGTTTCCTTGTATTGTTTGCTATGTATAATGCAGTTTGTTTTTAATGAGATGGGTACCCACTACCAGTTGTCCAATAGTTTAATTCCTGATTTACTTCTTTGTCTTCCTTCTCATTTGTGGCTCTTCTCCTAGCCTTGTATAATGCTTATAACACAATGAAATGGTGATCTGAGATATTGCTTCAAAAGACAGATTCAGTGGGTTTTTGTTGTCACACCACTGACAGTGACTTCTTTCCTCTTGGGATTGCTGTGTAGATTGAACAAAGCATCTTCATCACCCTAGACAACAGGGAACCAATCATAAAGCAATGGGTGTGGCTGAAACTGGACATTCTGATGGCAAGCAAACTGAAATAGAACCATGCTAATAGCATTTTTTTTGCCTGAAACCCTGTGAAAGCAAAACCAATTTATTTGCCCGAGATCAGTGGTGGGATTCAGCCAGTTCGCACCACTTCGGCAGAACCAATAGCTAATTTTTTTGTTGCCCAGGCCCAGAATGGACTTCTGGAAGCGGCATTCACACAGAGAACCAGTTGTTCACATATCTGAATCCCACCACTGCCCGAGATCCTATAACACCTGCCCTCATATAACCGCAGTAATAGGCATGTTAATGTACATGTTCTAGCCAAATATCATTTAACCTAAAATAATTTTTGGGACCCTAATTTAGTGTAATATGCTTCTCCCTTATTTTTGCTGATACCATCTTTAAAGATTTTTGCATCTCATCCAAGATATTCTTCAACCCTTAGGTATAGGAATCATAGAGACTTCAGTGAGAAGCAGGAAGACAAGCCTTAAATAAAACTTTTTGCAAGGAACATAAGGTCCAAGCCATTAAAGTATGGGCTTAAAAAATTAACAAATATCTCAATAATTCCAGTAATTTCAAGATAAAGTAATTAGCCTTCTGTGTAAAGTTGAATAAAGGGCTAAACCTTTTTCATTCCCTAGAATAGGTGGTAAATGTATTCCTTGAACCAGAGCCAGCTGTGTATTTAGACAAAGTAAGACACTAATCTCAGACAAAAAATATTGAGTGATTAGGACCAAACCAAGTTGCCATTCATATGACCTGCCCAGTTTTTAAGCCTGATATATAAGATTGGTGAAATAAAATGCACTGCCAGTTGAAATGGAGGTACTATGTCATCCTTTGTGCTTGAGCCACAAAAATTTTTAGGCAAGTCATTTTGAAAATTATAGCATTTATTTTTTCCCCAAATACTGAAAGTCTGCTATGTGTTCTATATCTCCTTTACCATCTGTCTGTATTTAACTGCATTTTTTGGGCATGTAGAACATTCCAAGCGACATTTGAACATTAATTTCTGATAATTTGGCAGTTAAGAGATGCAAAGATTCTAGTTTTAGCATGTCCTGCATTGACAGATTTCACTAAAACTGAAACTAATCATTTAAAAAACAAATGCTGTTTCTTTTCCCTAAAAAGAAACTTTATAAAAACATAGGGGAAATCTCTTTCACCCTCTCTCTTTCTAACCATATTTATTGCTTAATTTTATTTTCTAGACCAGGGGTCTGCAACCTTGCAGCTTTAAGACTTGTGGACTTCACCTCCCAGAATTCCTCAGCCAGCTATGCTATGCTGGCTAAGGAATTTTGGGAGATGAAGTCCACAAATCTTAAAGTTGTCATGGTTGCAGACCTTTGCTCTAGACCATCTCTAGACCGGTGTTTCTCAACTATAATGCCTTAAGATTTGTGGACTGGGGACTTCTGGGAGTTGCCAAGGCTGAGAAACATTGCTTTATACACTTTGATCACTAAACAGCACATGAATCTTAACACATTCCTATAGTGCATCATTTTACCCACCCTCCAGATGTTTTAGGCTACAACTCTCCTAATTTATGTTGATAGCTAGATATTTTATGCTGTCTTAACACATGAGGGCAGTATTAGACTGCAAAATAATCATGACATAAATATTGTAAATAAAGCACATTCACTTCAGAGCACTTCCAAGCCGTTTTGAGAAAGAGAGAGAGACTCCCTAAATTCCTCCCTCCCTCCCTCCCTCCCTTCCTTTTCACATTTTTTATAGATAACTCAACTGGCCAGCATATCTAATATTGCTTCCTCCTCCTCCTATTTTCCCCACAAAACCTGCATTCTAATCACTGTGTCACCACATGTAAGGATATATAACATCCTTAACACTATTAAACATTATCATTAAAATCATGAGGGATGTAACAAATAAGATTTTGAGGACGTGCCTATCTCTTATAAAAAGATCTTGGTATTCCAAGAATTTAAGCTTTTAAGAAACCAACTTTTGTTCTTAAAAATGTCTCACTTATTACAATATTAAATATATGAACAACAGCATTTGTATAGCTTATGCTATGTGTCTGTTTATGCATATCTCTATAAGTATTTAATATTTTTGCTCATTTTTACTGTGAAGGCATTAGAAATATTTATTTATTTATTTATTCATTTTTATGTAGTCCTTGTTTCTTAATGGTTGATCTAATTGGAGTTGCAATTTCAGACGTTTGGAGCATAGAGGGTTGTGGAAATCTAAGTTAAATGAATTATTATGATTAAAGAAAAAAACTGCACACATACTCAGTGGTACACATTGCTTATATTTTCCACATTTCTGGTCTCCCCATTTTATGCTGGCATGAGTTAAGTTGTGATAAATCCATATTTAAGCAAATTTACCACTTATTCTGACCAACTTTATGTATATTTGACTCCAGCATGCTATGCATAGCTAAATTCTGGTATGTTACATGTAAAATGCAATCAATTGACGGATACATCAGTATTTTATTATTTTATATATGCAACTTGTTTCTTATTATTGAATTTTATTATGTACTGGTTCTATATACTGCTCTTTTACTGCAATGAAGAATTTACAATTCTACAAAAGAAAATAAGCCTTTTAATATTAAATATTGAACAAAGTAATGCAATATAGTTTTATCTTCTATCTAAGCAGGATTGCAGACTTTATGAAACTTTGATTTCCTCCAGCATGGCCCTTATGGTCTTCTCATTTAAAAAAAATGAATCTTGCATATGTTGGGAATGTAAAATATAATTAAAATCAAAATAATGTGTTTCATTTACTACTCACATTGGATTTTTATAGTTCTACTGTTACAGTTTTAATTAATGTAAGATGATTAAGTTTTGAACATAATGTGAGAAGACTTAGCTATATCAAAATTTCTATAATGATGAAAAGATGGAAGAAAAGAAGAAGATTGTTTACAGGAAAATGGACAACATTGGAAGACTTAAACAGCTAGTTTGGGGCAGATCATCTTGGAAAAGTTTCACTTATATGATCTCTAATAGAGCTGACATCAACTTGATGGTATATAATCAATCAAAAATAGTAAAATGGTAACCATGAATATCTAGCTTTTTTCTAACATTTCTACTTTCCCCTTCACCCATCAGTTCATATACAGGTAGTCCTCAAACTATGACCACTATTGAGCCCAAAGAGAAATTTGTTAAGCAAGTTTTGCCCCATTTTACAACTTTTCTTGCCACATTTGTTAAATGAATCACTGCAATTGTTAAGTTAGTAAAACGGTTGTTAAGTGAATCTGGCTCCCCTATTGACTTGCTTGTCAAACGATCACAGAAGGGATCACATGACTCCGGAACACTGCAAACATCATAAATGTGAGTCAGTTGTCAAGCATCCGAATGTAAGACTGAAAAATGGTCATAAGTCACTTTTTTTCAGTGCCATTGTAACTTTGAACGGTCACTGAAAATAAACTATTGTAAGTTGAGGACTATCTGTATTGTTTACAAGACTGTATAGAAACACTATACTTCAATACTATTTAGAATCATTATATATTTTATTGATTAAATATATATTCATTACTTTATCTTAATGAAACCATACTCTAATACTATGAGTTAAAATAATATGTGCTATGTTTTTAAAGCAGTATATTACTTGTAAGAGAAATAATGTTACACAATACTACTGTTACTGTCCAAGCTTAGGAATAGCTTCCAATAGGCAAATGGGGCAGGAACGTACAGGTTGATGGGATTGTCGTCTAATCTAATGTCTTTAAGAGGTTTACAGATATAAGTTTGGTCATTTATTTTGCAGAAAGTGTCTTCATGTATCTCCAGAATATTGTTATTCTAAAAGGGAAAAAAAGAGAAATATCTATGATATTTGCTTTTGTTTAATTCTGAATAGTGTCAGTGAGTTCATAAAAACATTAAAAACTGCTAACAGTTTATCAGTATAATATTCCTCATTTGCTGTAAGAGACATTTGCAGGAAGGAATGAGTCACAAACTATATGATTCCACAGATATTTGTCTTAGGAATACTAAATATAGTAAGACCATATATATTTTTGTGTGTACTATTTTATATTAAAATGGTTTATTTGTGATGTTTATATAATTCTGGATATTGATGATCTTCTTCTTCTTCTTCTTGTGCTATATCCGTTATTGGACGTTGGCGATCATGTTGGCAATCCTGTTTTTATCAGCAGCCGCACGAAAAAGTGCTGCTGAGTTTTGTCCAAACCAGTCCCTTAGATTTTGAAGCCACAATGTTCTTCTTCTGCCTGGACATCGTTTGCCTTCAGTCTTTCTCTGGAGGATTAAATGGAGTATGCCATATATTGCTGATCAGTTAAATTAAATTAAGGTTGGTATAAGGCCCCGAGGTACAACATGTAACATTGTTTTGCTCTAGTAATAGTTAAGTTACCATTTCCACTGCCCTGACCTGCCAGTTTATTTAAGTTGTGGTAAAGCCAAACCATTTCTTCAATTAAACTAGCAAGCTTTTGAGTATTGTACAAAGAAGAACTGTTGTCTTATTTCTAAAAATGTTTGACCGGAAGTGATAAGACTTGGTATATAATAACATTGGAATGATCATATGTTATTTATTCCTGCCAGTTTTCTCTGAACTTTAAATGAGACATACGTACAGAAATCTAATGTCAACTCAATGGAATTCATTATTTGCCTTCATTCTGTGCTGGTTAGGCAGAACTTACAATGTTGCATCGAGCTTTGAGTACTACATTTCAGGAATATATATATATATATCTCCTAAGGAAGGATTAATACACACACACACACACACACACACACACACAGTAATACAATAAAAAATATGGCATACTTGCAGGTAAAGCGATTGGAGACTTTCAGGGAATGGAACTGGGATGTGATCCAAATTATTACTAGTGATTTAAAGATGGTGCAAGTCAATCATATCCTACAGGAAAGGGGGAAAATCCATAAATATAGAAAGGATTTTCTTTCATCTCAGTCAAAATGAAGTATGACATTAAAAGTACAGATAGTGATACTTAAAATACCAACTGTTTATTAAAGCTTAAGACTTGCTTCCATTATACTTTATGTTGTCTTGTATTTTTTTCTTTTCAATATCATAAAAAGCAAATATCATCATGTTATCACATATCTGCTTCCTACACAACCCTCCAGGTTTTTTAGAGGTCTTTCTTCAACATACTTTTAATAGGTATGTGAAGTAAGCAGCAAGAATGGCATTTTTTATTTCCTTATTTTATTTATTTTAACAAATGAGTTAGATAAAATATAATATACAAAGCATGGATTTAGCAAGATCAGTGCTAAATAACTTAGAGAAATAGTAGAAATGATTAAAAAACAACAACTTTATATAGAAAGATGTTGTAGTCAGCTGAACTTCTTGAAAAGGGAATTGAGAATAGTGCTTTCTCAAACAATACCAATGAAGAAGAAAGGAGGCATGTAAAGAAACTGATGTTATTCAACAGATAACTCACAAAAAAGCTGATATTAAGGAAGGATGCTTATTGGAAATGGAAGGAAAGGTTTATAGCTCAAGGAATCTAATACACTTCAACCCAGAAATATAGGTATAAGAAGGAAGGAATAAAGGAAGTAAGAAGAAGGAAAATGAGCAAAGTATAGCAAGAGAGGTAAATTCAGCAGGAAGAGTTTCTTTAAATATGCCAACAGCAAGAAGAAGCTAAAGGAGACAATAGACTCTTATTTACTTTAGAGGAAGAAATTTTAACAGATGTGGAAGAAAAAAAAACCCAGAACATCCAAAAGAAATTGAAGTAGAGGCACCTAGAAAAAAGACTTAGGATTTCAGGATGAGGAACTAATACCCCCTCCCATATCCCTTGGTTAATTAAATGAAATTGTGATCCTTGGCTTGATTCTTAATCTGTTTCTTCCATTTTTAATTTGGTGTGAGGAAAACACATATAAATATGTAGATTTACATGATATGGACTAGTTGCATTTGTAAAGTATTTATATTGAAACTTGATAAAAATGATGACCTCTGTGTTTAAGGTCTAATTTTGCCAATATTCAAAGCTGTAATTTCAAATAATGTCTTGATAAGCATGTATCAAGACATAGATATGAGCTGTAAACCACTGAGAGGATTTCTTACACAGTCCTAACTGAATTTGGCATAATCTCATCAAAATCACTAGAGGACATTTTGGCAAACTATACTACATTTATTTATTTATTTATTTATTTATTAAAATTTATAGACTGCCCCACTCCCGCAGGACTCCGGGCAGCTAACAATAAAAACACAATATAACTTAACAAGACAAACAATACAGTAACATTCATCCAGGGGTCAGATTTTATAAACCCCAGGCCTGCCGGAAAAGCCAGGTCTTAAGCAGCTTGCGGAAAACCAACAGGGTGGAAGCGGTCCTAATCTCCGGGGGGACCTGGTTCCAAGATGTGGGCACCATCACAGAGAAAGCCCTCCCCCGCGGCCCCGCCAAATGGCACTGTTTGGCCGACGGGACTTGAAGGAGGCCCAGCCTGTGGGATCTAACCGGACGAAGGGAACTATGAGGTAGTAGGCGGTCTCGCAAATAGCCTGGCCCTGAGCCATATAGAGCTTTAAAGGTAATAACCAACACCTTGAATTAGAACTATCTGGGTTTTGCATAAATCAGAATTGTCTGCCTTTTTTTTGGCTGCAATAGCACCCCAAATCCAGGATTACTCTCATCCTATAAATTCCATCTTTTGCTCATCTGTTGGTTATTATACATGATTTATCTAATGGGAGAATTTTTAAAACCAAGCAAAAGGACTCACTTTAAATGCTTCTGGCTTTATCCCTTTGCGACCAAGTCTGTTATTACTGATGTCAATGAACGTAAGTGTTGTTGGTAATTCTGAAAGTTGCCTTATTTTATTATCTCTAAGTATCAGTTCCTAAAGTTATAGTAAATTTCTGAAGGTATCTTCATCCATTTCTGAGATGAAATTAGAAGTCAAGTCAATTTTTTTCAGATTGCCTAGCCAAGAAAATAAAACAAGGAAATATTTAAAGTACTCTTAGAATTTGATATTCAATGCTTGGGATTGGAGGGTAGCTAACAATATTTTGTACTAGAAATGGTTCTAAAAGATTCGTTCTAATTCTTAAATAGACAGCCGTTGCCTATTACCTAAAAGATGCCACGTTCCATATATTAATAATTCAGACTCATCAAATTCTTTGTATTATAGTACAAAGTTAGGAAAGTTACCAGCATATTTAGGTGAGCAAAGGCATTTCTTTTTATCTTCTTTATTCTATTATAGGGGGTATAGAAATTGGTGGTTTGCTTGAGCAAGGGTGGTAGAATTTCTAGTTCACAATCATCACAGTACACTGAGGTACCCAGGCAAGTAAAAAGAATACAAGTTGGGACAGCTAAAATATAAAACAAGAAATAAATTACCATGAGGTACAAAATTGTTTCAACTGTTATTTAAAATTAGAAATATGGAATGGTATCTATGTCAAAAGTTCAATCTTATGCTATCAGTAACCCTGTATTTTTCAAGTGCATGCATATGAATAGATATTTTTTTTAGAAATCATTATTTTGCATCACTTTTTATCATAATGTAATAAGAAAAGTTAACATTTAAATATGTGCAGGTAAAGGTAAAGGAATCCCTGTGGATTTTACTCTGTTAGTCATAGCCAACTTGAGGGACAGTACTCATCTCTATTTCAAGGCTATTGAATCAGCACTGTCCAAAGACACTTCCACAGTCATGTAGTCAGCATGACATCACACCACAGTTTGTGATATGTGTACAGTTAAAAGAAATTAAAATAATGTCTCTACCTCCCTCACTTAATACAGATGTTGACCCAAAGGTCTATATGTATTCTTAAAAAATGTCTTGAGGACAAGTTTCAGCGGTGCTTCATTGTTTTCTTGTCAGTACAGCTTTATTATAGCTTGAACAATGGAAATATTGACAATTTTTATAATAAAATAATTATATACTATATGAGCCTTTTGAGACTGGAATGCACCAATATATACATATATTACTTGATAAAAATGCAAGAAATTCTTTATGAGTATGTCCAGGTAAACAAAGACAATTGACACAATTAGTATTCTAAGTTTATTTTAAGTGGAAGTTCACCATAATATGACTTTTGTTGTTGTTGTTTTATAAACCTTCTTTTGTATGAGGACCAAAAACTTCTGGTTCATGAGGCGAAGAGACATCAATAAGTTTGAGTGTGGAGGAGCTTCCAGTTTGCCATCGGCGCCTTCAGATGCATGGAGGTGAACTCCGTCTTCAGTGTCCAATTTCATCCCACGGGGGATCCTGGAAAGGGTCGAAAATTGCCATATAGGGACGACGAGCGAGGAGGGGATCCCCGTTTGATTGCAGGAGGGCGGCAGCCCTCCCGCTTGATCTGAGGCAGCTCTCCAAACTGGCAGGGGAAAGACCGGCCATACCAATACGGCTTGTCATTAATCTGCTGACAGCTGAAGTCAAAATTACTATCAATCACCTTTAAAGCAATGCGGATGAAATTGGGTGAGATCTAATCTCCTCTTTAAGACTCTAAATATCTTTCCTGAAAAAGCTGCCTTAAGTATCTTTCCCCCTGTGAGGCAAGAGGGAAGGGAATTCCTGCCCCACCCTCTAAGAACAGCGGTGACTGACTACCCAGAGGAAATGAAGCAACTATAAAAACAACTTTAATCTAATTGGATACATATACTTTTGAAATTTAGGAACTAAAAAGTTTTCCCCAAAATTTTTCTTATTCCTATTTCTACTGGATACGCTGATTTTTATCTAAAAAGAAAAGAAATAAACTTTGAAAAACTATTATAAAACCGGGGGACTTAAAAGGTTTTAAACAACATCGGTGACATCTTGTGACAAAGTTTGGTATTACAACTTGTTATTGCCTAAAGACTACAGCTCAGACTACAGATAAAACTCTTTCGACCTTGAATACCACCTGTGAGAAACTCAGCTGTAAAGAGAACTTCTGGGCGGCATAACTGGCCTGCTTGAACTATGAATGTAAACTTTTACTGACTTTCAGAGTTATATGTAGGGAATGGCCTTCCCATCTCTTTATTTGAGGAACTTTGGTTATTATATGAGATGATGGACTATAAAATCTTACTTGACAAACTATTTCTACTATAAAGACTACCTATAAACATGTGAAATAAAGGTCCCATACTTAGTTATAAAATTATTTTTAATGTTTGATTTTAAAGTCCTCAACTTAACACATTATTAAGAGAATATGAATGAAGACCAGGAAAAGATCCTTTCCATGTTGAACACAGTACATGAAACCATTCTTTCAGCTTGTGACAAAATAAGACCCAACATAAAAGAACAAGATGCAAGCTTAGATACACAAACCCAAATTTTGACTACAACCAAAGAACTAACAACACAGAAGATAACAGAAAAAGTGGAACAGTCAAATACTAAGACAGAGGACTCAGTTGACCAGCAAATCCAGAAAAGGGAGTGACAACACTGAAAATGGAAAAGACTTTCTATATAAATCAGAAGAAATTTGAGAATGAAGATCCTTAGAATATATGTGTGCGTGTTTAAAACATATTGTTGCCATCTGTCATTTTGAAAGGAAGACAGTTTATAAAGAAATGGACTTGGGGACAAATTAAAAAAAAAAAAAGAACAAGAAACAGGAAATCAAGGCAGATGTTTTCTGGAAGAAGCCTAGACGGAGAAATGCATTTCAGATATCTTGGCACTGCACTATATTGCTTGTATTATAAATATGCAATATATTGTACTCACGAGAAGGGCAAGCATTTATTTTTTCTCAGTGGAATACTAAACAATCTCTCTTTTTCTAAAAGAAATTTAAGTGATAATTATACCATACTTTAGGAAAAAATGTACTGAGATTAACAGATGTACGGAATTGGGCATGTCATAACTGTATAAATACCCAAGGGAGAAAAGCATGATACTTAATTATCCTTTCTATAAATACCATTATGTTGAGGGTAGGGTATATCTTTAGAAGGGTTGAATTGGGGGGCTCCTTGGTGCTCTTTGAACCTAGTTGTTTTCTTGTAGATATTTCATTACCATACTATATAATATCAGTTTCTGCTAAGAACTGCCAGCAGTCTGAGCCAGCTGTACAGTGATGGGATTCAGCCAGTTGGCACCAGTTCAGCAGAACCGGTAGCTAATTTTTTGTTGCCTAGGCCTAGAACAGACTTCCAGAAGCGGCATCCACACAGAGAACTGGTTGTTCACATATTTAAATCCCACCATTGCAGCTGTAGCTTCCAAATGGTCTTCAAGGATAGTTCACAGAGCATATTGCAGTAGTCCAAACATGAGATGATTAAGGCTTGAGGGACTGACGCAGAAACTCCTGATATAGGAAAGGCCACAACTTGTGCACAAGACAAAGTTGTGTAAATCCTGTATGCTCTTGTATATGAAAATATACGAGATATTTTAGATATAAAATTAAGGGAAATTGAATACTCTTGAGTTGAGAAAAATGAAATTGATTGAAACAATTTCTAGATAAGATGATTCTAATAAAGACTGCATATTAACAAGGTAAAAAAAGTGCCCTTCTGTCCTGGGTTTTCTATTAAACGTTCACTCAGTATCCAGTTACATATTGTGACTAGCATTGCTGATAGACTAAAATGTTAAATAAAATTATTAATCTTCATAATTGGATTCTGCTGCTTTGTTTATGATTTTTTTATTCAACCTTTTTCCTCTTGACTAAGCATATAGTTTCAACTTCTTTCAAATGAGACTATTCCCTCAGATGAAAAGAGCTATATTTTAAAATGGATTCTGGAGTGGTTTCAATTGCTTACTTATTGGCTTGCCCCAGTTAAGGCTCCAGACAGTCCAAATGATGTAGATCACAATATAGTACCTGTTGGGCACACTTTCATTCATGGCAGAAACTATTATAATGGCAGTTATAAGTTAAATATAGAAATTACCCTGATTGGTGGCCATGAAAGGTTATTTCTTGTTCTTTGAACAATCAGAATTTTACCTTTAATTTTAGCAACAGCAGTCCTTTAGAATTATTAGAAGCTGTGTTTTCCAAAAACAAAGCTATAAGTCTAGTTTTTAAGTATTTTGATTATTTCAATCCCCTTGTTTGTTGTGAAAATTATTTTTCAGTACACATATTCATTCTGTAAATATTTTTGTCACGGTCACTACTGATTTTTAAATAGGCAGGAACTTTAATTATGAAAAGATGAAATATGAGGAATAGTTTAACTTTGCTTGATGTTAATACATGATTGTACAATTTTATGAATGTCACTTTTGGAAATTGGCCTTTTTTTAATCTTTTCAACATAATGGGCAAAGTCAGGCAACAAAATGTCCATACAAAACAATCTTAGTTGTGTATCATGCTTTTGTAATGGTCAATATGTCCAGTGGCCTGCTTGCTGTTCAAGTTTTGTGTCACATACATTTCTCTTCAAATCCAAAGCAAGCATATAATAATAAATAATGATTTAAGTTATTGTGCATTCTAATTTGTGGCATGTATTGATCAACTTTATCATTTTCTGCCTTTTTATTGCTTTCAGTTCTTCCAATTATCGGAGTCTTCCCCAATGACTTTTGCATTCATACTTCTCCATAATATCTACAGTTTAACTTTATTTTTCATGCTTCCATTGAGCAGTTAGTTTTACACTATTCCTTATTAGTTGTCCTTGTAGTCCAGCATATTCCCAACAACTGTCTCTGGCAGAATTCAAAGGCTTTGCCATATATCTCCACTACCTTATTTGCCTCCCCATAACAATGCTGTATGCTAAAGGATGAACCAGGAAAGGGATGGGATTCTGACTAGTTGTCACTTTTAGCAGACTCCCGTTAATCATAACTAATAGTCTAATGGGATTTTAAAAAATGAGGATGCTCAGGAGTGCTATGCAGTAATGCCAACCTAACTTTACCAATTTGAGCAGGGCAAAGCTGCTCCTCAAAAAAACAGCTATACCTTTTCTTTTTGTGTACTATTCAAGTGTCCAATAGAGGAAATTTCACACCTTTTAGTTTTCAGAAATACTAAAGACTAATTTATATGCTATGCTGTCTAATTTGTTTTATATACAACCCTGGGCAAAGTGATCTGGATTTGCAAGGAGACAATTTGCTTCAATAGAGCTTTTTCTGTTGCTTAAAATTTCTCTCTACCTCTTACCTGTCATTTGCTAAAGGCCAGGAGAGCCTTCTATCCAAATACTGTGTTTGTCAGAAGCCTTTTCAGTTCTAACAAAAGCATGCTGGGAAAGCAGAGAGGTGCGTTCTCCAGCATTGTTTGCAAAAGTTTAGAATGAACCATGCCAGATAAAGTCTGCTTGTCTTTTTGAAGAGCACCTTCTGCAGAAACAATTGCTGAACTTTAGCAAGTACAGTCAGAAAAAATTATAAAGCAAAACACAGCTACAAAGAATTATAAAGCAGAACAAGCCAAGACAGCTGCTTGACTTCATTTTAAAATGAAAAATGGCCATGCTGATTTGCAAAGTAGAGCTTCCCTTGAACTTTCACTGAAGGGAAATACCACTTTGAAGACTGACAAAGTCTTTTTATAGACATTGTAAGAAGGGACTGTAATTAGATCATGATAACAATACATCAATTCTTTTCTATGACTGAGAAGCAGTATGCACATTTTAATTTTATACATGTGAAGCATAGGCTGAAAGTAAAAGGGTCTGTTTTCAAAACCATTTGTGGTTTAGTTTGCTTTTAGATTTACAGTGTTGTCTAACTTTGCAAATCTATCTTTTGCCAACTGATTCACATTTTATGTTGTGTTATTTTGCTTATTTTTCTTTCAGATAATCCTTAGAGTAGTTGTTAAGTAGCTGTTATAATACTCTTACGCTTCTAATAAGAGACATTAAACTTGTGTCCATTCTAATAATTTATAAAAAAATGGGATATTCTACCAATAGTAAACTTATGTGCAGGCACTCTTGGGATAATTCTGATAAATCTCATAAAAGAAATATTGATAAAAACATGAGATTACATTTTGTAATTTTCAGGAACATTTTGAAGCTCACCTTAAAAGTAAAAATGAGTAAAAACTACCCTTCTGAATGCACTCCTTCCTAGTCCCTTTCTCCTGCTGGACCTAACCATATCTTCCTATTCTCATGTTTGCCTCCTTGTAACATTTCCTTTTTCCTGTTGTCTCTGCTTGGAAACACCCACATAAATTATTTACTTGAATAATATTTTTCCCTTAAGTCTTCTCTTCTGAACAATAACTCCCTTAGCAGGAAATCTTTCAAAAAGTTCCAAGTTCCTAGGACTTGGAAACCAAATGAGAAATTGAAGCCAATATATCATCTCATCTGCAGAGTTTTGAAGAACAGGACATTTTCAGCACTTTCCACTATTGTTAGCTATCACAACAAGATTATTCAATCTTGTCTTCTATTTTTTGTGCAGACCTTATAAGCCCTTGTAAACAGAATACTGACACTGACATCCCCTAAACTCTACTGAAGATGTTACCTAGCCCGATAATGAAATGTTCAGAAACCAACCCACAAGCTCAGAGAATGAACCTTCACCCTCACCAGTCTTCTATTTCAATCTACTAACTACCCATTCTGAGGATTTTCACCAATACAGTGAGAACAATGAAAAAGGGAATGTGATGGAAACCAAGATCACTTCCTAAAGTTGCAATCTGCAAAGAAAATGAACTTTCCTAAACATCTCAAGAACAACTTCAAGTCTCAGATAAGAAACCATAATATAGAATACTTATAACAGCTGAAAGTCATATTTAGCTCTTAACGTTCTAGTGGTTTATTTTTCACAAGATAGGTTCTGTTCCAGGTATGATCAATGATGAGACTAGAAGCAGACTCACTCATTGTTTTCAGACCTCTCGATCTGAAGATTTCTAATAGCGGAAAAGTAGTTAACAACAATTTCTGAACGTGACTAGAAAAGGAAACCAACCATGGTTTGAGTAAGGTATTCCCTAGCTCCCAGTGTTCAAAACTGGGTGGAGACTGTGGTTTTCCTTATGAAGCACAACTGTCTGAAACATTTATGAGTGATGTCTGGTCCTCTCATTTATTCACAAAGATTTGAAGAGCTGATCTCCTGGCCAGTGCTGCATTCTTCATGGTCATCAGTCTTCAGTCTACCATTTCTAATTCCATTCACTCTGCTGGAAGCCCATAGTTTAGCCCTTCACAACCCATTTCCAAAACAATTTTTTTAAAAATTAAATTTTTAAAAAGTAAATAGTTTCTTGCCATGCTTGACTGTGTCCTAAATGTTTATTTATTTCTCTCTATTCCTATTATACAATTTCTTTCCTCTGGTTTCATATTTATCAGTCATTCTCTTCCCTCCATTATTTTTTCCTCTAGAGCAGGGATGTCAAACTGCTGGCCCATGGGCTGGATGCATCATCCGGAAGCTGTGCCCATCCCATTGCCGACAATGGCAAAATTGTCCTGGTATGTTGCACGACATCATGTGACATTGCGAGTTTGAATCTACCAAATATTCTTTTTCATACTTCCCATTTGCTTAACTTTAAACATTTCTCTAACATTTTGTACAATAATTCTGTTTTATTCTATGGTATTCCAAGCAACTTCCACATTCTCTTTCTGTATGGGAGATTAATCTTACTTTTAATTTATTTTCACACAGGACTGTGTGCTTTATTCCTAAAGCCATTCTACTTCACTTTAGTTTCTTTCACTTCTTTTCTTGATCTGTCCACATTCAGAAGCACTCATCATCTTTCAGCAATATGTGCTGTGTAATAATTAAAGACAACATGCATAATTTACCTGTGTTTGATCAATATAAAGTTCTTCAGCATGGTCATATAAGTTATCCAGGTCTTCAAAAGCTATTTCATATGTTTTAGAAACATAAGTTACAGAACTCATTGTAGGAGTAGTTATAATAGCATCAAAGATAAAATATCCCATCGGAATTTCTGCAAAAGGTTTCATTCTTCAATCCTTTTGAGGGACAAAAGTATATATACATATAAAAGTGCTGATTACCAATCTGATTGAAAACAGTCTATGAAATATTATTATTGAAATTGAATCATTTTAGAATGCTAATAAACTAAGGTGTTTCTAAAATAAAATAAGTGTATGCCTAGAAATTAGTCATTTAAACTGAAATAAAATTAGAATGCATATGTTTCAGAAGAATGGTTTCTTTATTTTTGCTACATAAAATAACACTATCAAATGTATTTATTTATATATTTAATATAATCTGAATTTATCAGAACTCCTGATGTCTTCATGGAAACACCATTTCCCTGCATAGGGAAAGTGGGTAGATAATTGCACTCTGCACTCATAACTGTCTTCAAGGGGCATCCCCTGCTGGAACAGGGAATTATGTATATTACTGGAATGGTACATGCATAATAATAAGACCCCTTTTGGATTTCAAGCTAGAGGCTAGTTAAAGCAGTAACCATATAATAATACATCTCACAATGACTACATACTCACATATGAAATCTCCCCAGCACAAATTTCTAGATTCAGTTTATTTCAGAGGCCTATTTTAAGACTACTGTGGCTTAGGACTAGTCTGTCTGGCCTGTTTATCTTGTTATCAGAATGATCAGTTGATAATAACAATAGCAATTGCACTTAGACTAATATACAGCTTCACAGTGCTTTACACCCCTCTCTAAGCAGTTTACATATTGCCCCCAACAATCTGGGTCCTCATTTTACTGACCTCGGAAGGATGGAAGACAGTTCACTTCTCGATAGCAGAAGTGATGAAGTTTTTTGGATGAGAAGCAAAATGTCTTCAAGGAAAAACAAAGAAAGTCCAGTTGCCTTTTGAAAAAGCACCTTTGAGACAACCATGACAGAGAATCTCTATTGATTTTCAAAGTATGCTTTCCCATATTATATTGTCTCTGATGCTCCTATCCGTTTTGGGCAGCATACTTTAGTTTGTTGTATACTAATCACAGCAATTTATTGGATACTTTGCAAAGAAAAAATAACTGACTTCAAATAACGCACAGACAAGCCTTGACTTGTTTAAAGTCAGTTTTTTTTCTTTGAAAATTATATACATATATTTTCTGAGGTTTTCGCGGGTGTTTTGTATGTAGGTCTTTGGTTATTCGGGTTTTCTCCCGCGTAAAATTGGAAGTGTCTTGGCGACGTTTCGACGAAATCCCATTCGTCATCAGATGACGAATGGGACTTTGTCAAAATGTCGCCAAGACACTTCCAATTTTACGCGGGAGAAAACCCGAATAACCAAAGACCTACACACACACACACACACACACACACACACACACATATATATATACCTCAGAAAACAAATATATATATATATATATATATATATATATATATATATATATATATATATATAGTGTGTGTGTGTGTGTGTGTGTATGTACACACACACAGAGAGAGTATATTTAAAATATATATTGTGTGTATGATTGTGTGCAAGATAGAGCAAGTAGGCAAATAATTAGCAAACTAGGAGAGCATGACCAGTGAGAAGACTAGACAATATGAGTCCAGACTGAATACCTCTGGAATTGGATTTAGATTGAGGGAATTAAATTACAGGTATGCTCCCCAAACATTATACTGCAGAAGAATTCACCAAGATTATATTTCAGAAGAATTACCCAGGCATAATCATAACAACCATGATTAAATCGGCAAGCTGCTACAGTGGGGTGGATGAAAATATTTGGTAATAATGGATATTGAGCAAATAAAGGCAGTTCTTTTAAATGATTCATATCTATAACTTTTATATTCTTTTCTTGACATTTAAAGCAGATTTAGATGACTAATTTTATTATTTTAATCTAATGACTGTTTTACAATGCAGTTTTTGTTAACTCTCTTTGCTATTTGCATCTTGCGTACTACTCATCATAATGGGTCTTAAGCATATATAAATATTCCCAAACAAAATTTCATTTTCATTCTTCACGTATACTGAACAATAGAAGTACTGATATGGGAGGAAAACTATACATAAATCTGATGTAAAGATATACTGAAAAACTGAGTCTATGGTATTTTGAGCCATATAAACTCACATCTCTTCCAGCTCCAAATCAATCACTTGATTCACTGAATAATACCATCCAGATTTTTTTTAAAATAATAGTACTAAGTTATATTAGGCTTTGTTTTTCAGGTTATTAATATACAAATGATTGCCAAATTAAAACTGTTCAGAAAATAATATTTTTGGTATTGTATATAGATAATGATATACATGGATGGATGGATGGACGGACGGACAGACGGACGGACGGATGGACGGACGGACAGACAGACAGACATACAGATCAACCGTGCTGTTTGGAAAGTTCAGTTTTAATAAGTAAAATCCTGGAACTTAGTACCATCTACTGACTTGCAGAAGAGATGTTTATTTTGATATAAATTATATCAAAGCTTATAATTATTATTTTTTTCAAAGTTACTCTTTTTAAAAATAAGCATATAATTTGATATGTGTTTGTGTGTGTGTGTGTGCATGTGTGTGCATGCCTGTGCGTGCATGTGTGTGTGTTCCCATTTCTTATAAATGACAAAAAAATAAACCAGAACCCTTACCTTTCACTTCTGCCTTCTCAAATGGCATAGAAGTCACTGAGTCTGAACCAATGAAGAGTTGACAGTATTTGACCCTAGCCAGTTGTGGTCTAGTCTGAGATTGAGGGAGGATGATGTGGTAAAGATCAAATCCTGAGAATTTCTTGGTGTTTTAGCAAATCAGACAACATCTTCTGAATGCCCAACCTTGTACAGTAGTTAAGTGTAATTTATTTTTCAGGAAGATTATATTTCAAAGCTTTTGCTGAAACAACTAATTCATCGTTCATGCCATTTTCAAGAACAAACAGAAATCTGGAATACTTAATGTCATTTCTTTTATACAGAGCAACAAAAAAGGCAAAGTTTAAATATATTAACTACAGTCAAAATCACCTTTTTATTATTTTTAGTAAAACATACAAATTTGTTTTATAATGCCAATTGGGTTTTTATATGCAAAATTTTTCTTTATATGCCCTAAAACAAAAAAATAAGGGACTGAGGCTATTTCTTTTTTCAAAAAAATTGACAGCTCAATCATTTGATTCAATTGTCCTCAAGTGAAAATAAAGAATAAGTCTTGCCTAATGACTAAATGAATAAAGATTTTCTTCTTTATTATTTTTATATATTAGTCAAATTTATATAGCCAAACATTTTATCCAAGATGATTCTTGGAGGTGTACAATAATGCAACAGAATAAAGTATATAAAAACAATTATATAAATTTAAATAAATATTAAATATTATTAAAATTAAAGGTGAAATATAAACAAATTTCAGGTCTGTAGAGTTTAAGTATTATGTTAAATTGATCATAGAGTAGTGCATGCCATATGCAGTAATAAATTTATTTTAAATCTACTATGGGTCTTTACTTAATAGAGTAAGTTATTGATCGGCATTTTGTGTAGACTATCATACATTATTTTATCACAGCTTAACAGCCCTTTCTTACTTTCTTCAAAAATATTTCGGAGCATTCCTGGTTCAGGAGAGTGGTACTTTGCTGCCCCACTTCCTTTTTAATTTTAAATATTTTTTTTAAAAAAAACAAAAACTAAGAATTACATTAGATGTGTGTCTATGGGCATTTCAATATCCCTGGGTCTTGTTGGAGATATCAAAACAAAGCATAATGTAGCTTTATAGAAATTTAACATGCTCTAATTGTTCTCATGTTTTGTGCTTCACTTTGATTTCAGAAAATGTTGATAATGGATAAGAGTAACTAAAAAATATCTGAAAACAATGTGGGAAATCCTAAATCAAAGGTTCCCAACTTTTTGGGCATCAGGGACCAGTTCCGTGGAGAAAGTTTTTTTCTACAGACTGGAGAATGCATGGTTTTGTGTGCTGTCCATATCCCACAGATGGGGCTTTGCTTGTTTGTGCAGAACAGTTGCTGGCATGACACGGACCAGTACTGGTTCATGGACCGGGGATTGGGGACCCTGTCCTAAGTAGAATTACAGAAAATCATATTCCAGTTTAAGATAAAAAATCTCTTAATAATAAGAGGAGTATGATAGTTGGTTGATCACAGAAATGGTGAGCACCCGTTACTTCTTCCACAAGTGCAATTTCACCTACTTGATGTCTGAAAAAAGGTTAAGTCTTAACCTTTCTTTTCTTTAGTAAACTCTGGTCTTAAGGTACTCACTCTAGCTTGTAGTATTATTGTAATTACATAAAAGCAATGTCTTTATTCAAATAAAGAATAGATGCATGCTCACATATGTATTCATTTTGATAATCTGGAATGGAAAAACTTTTGAGGGATGCAATATAAAAAATGAAACATTTTCTGTGTTTATAGTTTATAATCAGAAAATCACAGGTTGACTGTGCCCAATTGCCAGGATTGACAGAAACTACAAAAGACAGGTAGCCAAGTCCTATGCCATGAGGGTTTTATAGATGATAATCATCACCTTGAGTTTTACCCAGAAAGCTATTGATAAGAAGTGCAGTTCATGAAGCAGAGATACTATATGTCATGCCCATGATTGCCTCTGCCACTGTATTCTGGAACAGCTGTAGGTTCTAAGTAGCCTTCAAGGATAGCCCCATATAGAACATGTTGCAATAGTCAAAACATGGAATGACTAAACTATGAGTGAGTGCTGAAGTGCTAGTTCAGACATAAGTATGGCTAGATTACTTAAAGACTTTTCAGCTTGCAGCTGCCACCTGCTCCTTGAACAGGATCTAGTGCTCACCAATCTCAGTCTAGAAAACCCCTGTTGAGATCTGCATAGCCTCAAGGTAGGTTAGTCAATGAATTAAATGTCATTCATATGATTTTATTTGTAGTAACAGTGCAAGGTTCATTTTGAGATTTGAATCTAGTAACAATACATACGACATTCTGTATTCAGTATACAGTATAATGGTTTGTATTCATTGAGAAGAACTGGAATTCAGAATTTAAACTAAACATAAATTATTACTGCTGGAAATAGAATTCAGATTCAGGATATTGTCCTTAAAACATAAAGATCTCTTCTGGTTATATATGTCTGTGTGTATGTGTGTATCTATGTCTGTGTATATGAACATGGGGTGTATGGGGTGTTCAGGGAGGGGTAGTACCTCTGGTGTAGGGCATGTCATGCCTTTTAGGGCAGCTCGTACACCTTTGGTCCCCACCTGACATTCAGCTCTCACCTGTGGCTCCTAGTAGCTGTAACATATGCAGCGGCCACACCCCAGGCAACAGCTTCGACAGGCTGGCCAAACCAGATTGAGAGTAGCCGTTGTGTCTTCAACACTTGGTGAGCAAGGGATTTGTCTATCCCGAGCATGTGAAGACAGACTCTGGTGGAGTGAGCGGATGAGATCTATTAAACTAGAACCAACGGTCATGAAGACAGTTTCTGCAAGCGACATGGTATGCTGAGAGCACGGCAAAACACAAAAGATGCCCTGGTCAACCACTGCACCCAACCCATCTCCAATTGTCTCGACTTTTGTCCTGCCATTGGAATAAGATGGAATCTGGGAAGAGAGAGTGAGGCTGACTATGCGCACCTCTCCCTCACTTAAATCCAATCCACGCGCAAGTCTTGACATCTTGACTTTCCCTAACTCTGATAAATCTCAAAGTCCTGTGGTGATAGGTGAGCGAAGAAGCAGCAGGTATGGAATCACTGGGAGCTGTGGACACGGATCTGCACACAGGCGGCTCAGGTCTAATGGTCGCTTCTTGCTGATGAAGCAATAGCCCTCTTCAGGATCACACTGCTCACCTCCGTAGTATGAGGAAGGGGCTAGAAAATGTGCCCTAAACATTGTTGCTTCTTTCAAACCCTGTCCATCCTACCGCGATTGGAGGGGATCCCATCTCATGCGGTCGAAATAAAAGTTTAAGACAAAACACAAGGTGTTACCACTTATTATTGGTACATGGAATGTACGTACGCTTCAAGACAATCCATTAGCAGATCACCCAGAAAGAAGAACAGCTCTGGTAGCCAGAGAGCTTGCAAGATTTAATATTGACATTGCGGCCCTGTGTGAAACTCGTCTAGCCAATGAAGGTCAGCTCACAGAAACAGGAGGCGGCTACACATTCTTTTGGTGTAGACGTAGCAGTGACCAATGTCGTGAGTCTGGAGTTGGCTTAGCAGTTAAGAACCATCTTGTTTGCCAACTTGTCAGTCTTCCTAAGGGTGTGAATGATCGAATCATGACACTGCATCTCCCATTACTAAGTGGAAAACAAGCCACACTGATCAGTGCCTATGCACCCACAATGACAAATCCAGATGAAGTAAAGGACAAGCTTTATGAAGATCTTGATGCCCTACTTTCATCTGTGAAGTGCACTGATAGGCTGATTCTACTTGGTGATTTCAATGCGAGAGTGGGGTCCGATCACTCTACCCGGGATGGCGTTATTGGTAAAAATGGAATTGGAACATGTAATAGCAATGGCCTGTTGCTATTGAAGACATGTGCTGCTCATGATAATACCATCTTTTGCTTACCCACTCGTAAAAAGATGTCCTGGATGCATCCATGCTCCAGACACTGGCATCTCATTGATTATGTCATTGTGCGGAGGAAAGACATGCAAGATGTAAGAGTAACTAAGGCTATGCTGAGTGCTGACTGCTGGACTGACCATAGACTCATCATTTCCAAGTTAAATAGTCACATCAAGCCAAAGAATCGTCCACAGGGAAACAGAGTTGTGATGAAAAAGATTAATGTCAGTACACTGGAAAACCCTGATGTAGTAGCTTCATTAGTAAAAGATCTTGACAATAAATTCCTGGAGCTGCAAATACAGGAAAATGCTGAGAAGGACTGGGAATGTTTCTGGGACATCTTGCACTCTTCTGCACTTAAGGTTCTTGTACCCTCATATAGGAAGCAGCAGGACTGGTTTGATGAAAACGATGAAGAGATTAAGGCATTGCTTGCCGAAAAACACCATCTCTACCGCACTCATCAGAACAACCCATCATCAACTGCAAAGAAAAATGCTTTTATAAACACTCGCAGGATTGTATAGAGCAAGCTCCGCAAGATGCAGGACTCCTGACTGAGTGCCAAAGCAGATGAAATCCAGAAGTTTGCTGATAGAAACGATGCCAAACGATTCTATGAAGCCTTTAGATCCCTGTATGGACCTCAGCCCTTAGGAAGCTCTCCTTTACTGGATTCGAGTGGTGCAATTCTTATCACTGAGAAGACCCTGATTTTACAGTGTTGGGCCGAGCATTTCCACTCTGTGCTGAACCGCCCATCCACCATCAATAATGAGGTGATTGATAGGATACCCCAGGTAGATATCAACTATAGCCTGGATGCCCTACCATCAGAGGCTGAAACCTCACAGGCCATCAGTCAATGTTCCAGTGGTAAGGTGCCAGGATCTGACGCAATCCCAGCGGAAGTCTATAAGGCTGGCGGTGCTGTGCTTGTTGAAAAACTTACCCAGTTGTTTTGATCTTTCTGGAAACAAGGTTCCATTCCTCAGGAACTGAAAGACACGTCCATCATGCACCTCTACAAGAGAAAAGGAAATCGACAAGTCTGCGATAATTATAGAGGAATATCACTTCTCTCTGTTGCAGGCAAGAACTTTGCACGAGTGTTGCTAAATCGCCTGATTGACCATCTGGAACAGGGTATACTACCTGAGACACAGTGTGGTTTCTGCAAAGAGTGTGGCACAGTGGACATGATATTTGCAGCTCGATAGCTCCAGGAGAAATGTCAGGAGTAGAATCGTGAACTATACACCATCTTTGTGGATCTCACCAAGGCTTTTGACACAGTTAGTCGTGAGGGACTATGGTGCATTATGTCGAAGTTTGGGTGCCCTGACAGGTTTATTCTGATGGTACGACAGTTCCATGATGGCATGGCGGCTCGTGTTCTGAGTAACGGTGGAGCCTCAGAACATTAAGCAAGGCTGAGTGCTGGCACCAACCCTGTTCAGCATGATGTTCTCAGCCATGCTGTCAGACGCCTTTCAGAACAGCTCAGTGGGAGTTAATCTGAGGTACAGAACCAATGGGAAACTGTTCAACCTGTGAAGACTTCAGGCTGTCACCAAGGTAAAGGAGACTATGCTACGAGATCTCCTCTTTGCTGATGACTGTGCCCTTAATGCACAGCAGGAGCAGGAAATGCAAGCCAGCATGGACAAATTTGCAGCCGCCTGTGACAACTTTGGCCTCTTCATCAACATGAAGAAAACTGAAGTGATGTACCAGCCAGCTCCAAAAGCCCAATACCAAGAGCCTACCATCACAGTAAATGGACAAAAGCTGCAAGCAGTGGACCAATTTACGTATCTTGGTAGTACCCTCTCCCATGCAGTGACAATTGATATCGAGGTCAACTGTAGAATTGCCAAGGCAAATTCTGCATTTGGCAGATTGCGGACTAACGTGTGGGACCGCCATGGAATAAGTCTTGCTACCAAGCTTAAAGTTTACCAGGCAGCAGTGCTAACTACCCAATTGTATGCTAGTGAGACCTGGACAGTGTACAGAAGGCATGTTAGGCAACTGAACTACTTCCACATGACCTGTCTTTGTAGAATTCTGAGGATCCAGTGGCAGGATAAGATACCGGACACAGATGTCCTCTCCAGAGCAGGCCTATCATCAGTTTACACTCTGTTGATGAAAGCCCAGATGCACTGGGCAGGCCATGTTGTAAGGATGCCAGATCATTGCATCCCTAAACAGCTCTTCTATGGTCAGCTGTCTCAAGGAAAGTGATTGCACGGGGGACAAAAGAAGCGATACAAAGACACGTTGAAAGCTTCTCTTAAGTCCCTGGATATTAACACCATCTCTTGGGAACTTCTGGCACATGATCGACCGACATGGCGCACCTTGGTGTACCAGGGTTGCCAGACATATGAACACAGAAGGACAATCTTGGCACAAGAAAAGCGACCACTCCGCAAAGCCAGAGCTGCAAATGCTGAAATAACAGTGTCTACATTTCTTTGTTCAGTATGTGGCAGAACATTCCGTGCTAACATCAGTCTTATTAGCCACCTACGGACACATCTTGTGGGTTATGGCCCATAACCCACAAGATGTCAAGGTCTTCATCAAAAATCGATGGACGAACAACAAATATGAACATATACTTTGCAGTACAGCCCGAGACTGTGGGATTTTCTTCAGTCAAGTATTAATAGGTCAATCCAATTTAATTTTTTTTAATTAGCAAAATATGGCTAAGTGTTGCTATTTAGTATATTATCATTATATTGATGACACCAATTTGCCATTGTTCAGTTACTAAAGAATGAGCTCCACTGAAGAGAACACAACTTAGTCATAAAAAGATATTATAAGAACACACTTTTTTCTTAGCAATTTCTACTTTCTGATTTAAATTTAAGTAGTATGAAAGAAGAAAAATATAATAGGATGGCCTGAGTACTTACGTTTTCTTTCCTTAATAACTAAGCATGCTGTTTCTGCTATCCAGAAAGCAGAGAGTACAAAGCTTGTCACATTTTCTGTCTGACCAAGTCTCTGATGTATCTTCCTAGGTTGCTTGATTTTGTGTTTCTATTTCAACTATTCCTCTTCTTGATGACCAGTATTAATCTTGATGATTTTCCCTTCTATGTTATTATTATTCTATTTTATGCTTACCTTTTATTTATATTTAGAGATTAAATGTGCATATATTTCTGTATCTTTCTGATATACATATAGTATTTTATGGAGATTAAGTTATCCAAATCTAATATGGACAAAATAAGTTTTCAACAAGACAGGGTTTACAAACACAAAGCTTATCAATGCTCTATGAATAAATCTTCAAACAGATTTTGCTGTTATATAGAAATGAAGACCATTTTATTAAAAAATGATAGAATGACATTCTTCAGATATGTATAGTTCCAATACATATCTATCTTCATTTTCTACCCAATAGATTAACGTATGTTCTTACTTTTTAATTGTAAAATAATGGAGCAACTCAAATGGTGAATAAAGGAAGAAGATTGCTGATGTTTGTTCCATAATTAAACACAGCAATCTAACATTTACAGTAATATTATATCAAGATTATATCATGTCCAAATTACAGATACTATTTTTGCTTAACATAGGTGAAAACACAATTCCTGAATATGCAGGCCAAGATGCATAAAATATAGAACAACAAAAGCTATTTTAAACTAATTTTTCTAGCTCTTAGAATCCATCTCTTAATATTTAAAGTAAAGGAGCTACTAGGGGGGAAATTGAAAATACTTCAATATTGCAGGAAAAATAGAAAATATGTTACAAAATATATGGAAAGTGTAACAAGTTAAATGCCAGCAAAGATGTTTATTAAATCATTGTGACACAAAGTAGTCTTTAAATAACAAGTGCCTGAAGGAGTCGGAAGCACAGCATGAGGTCCAATGGAATTGGAGGTTTGATTCCATTGCCATCCAAGCGGAGATAACGGAGCTGTGGTAAATTTCTCTCATAAACATAATCTCCTGGGATAGGAATTGGGCATATTTGAGTTCCATTAAGATCTAAAAAACATCAAATAAATATGACAAAAGTTACTGTAATAAATTTGATACTTTAGAATATATATTTTTTGCATTGCTCAGAGACAGTAAGATCACCAGTCAGCATTGTGTTCTTCTTTCTCTTATGGAAGTTAAGACAACAAAATAGATATGTTTTGTTGGTCAACCATGAGTTAAGTTGCAAGGATACCTTGAATGTCATTTCTGAAATTATGAAGATGTTTGAGTTTTCTTTGCCTCAGCAGGCAACAGAACCTGGCTCACCTTATCTAGGCTCAAAAGCTAAATAAGGTCAAATCTGGTTATAACTTGGATGGGAAATTTACAGAAAATAGCTTCTAATCTTTAGATGAAGACTAGAGGTGGAAGTTGAAATATGAAGAAAGTATGAATGGTTGCCAAGAAGTCAAGCTCAACTAGGTGACTTTATTTTTTTAATGGAATTTGCAATAAATTGTAGTTCTCTATCTATCTATCTATCTATCTATCTATCTATCTATCTATCTATCATCTATCTATCTATCTATCTGGAGTTGTTGGCAATCAGGATATATATAAATTTAATAAATAATTCTAAGCATTGCAATCAAAGTGAAGTCACTGACAATTTAAAGGGGGTTTAATGCACAAGCACATTTAATATTTAATTTCTTCCTTTTAAAGCAGGTTGCAAAGGGCACAAAGATCCAAATACATTTTAACACTTTCTGTAAAGTTTTCCATCATCTGTTTATAAATCTTGTGTGTCTTTTATTTTACAACATCATAATTAAGGTAATTTTGTAATTTTAGAGAAATGAAATTATTACTAGTGTAAATAGATGCATTTGAGCAACTCCAAATTCATAGGTTTGTAAAATGTAAAATTAGAGATGGTGAAGCATGTACATCTCAAGATGGTATTAAAGGGATTAAGAGGAGTCTTTGTATCGCGTTGTCACTGAAATTGTTGAAAAATGACAATTGCCATAAAACTGATGCAGAATTTGATAGTATAGTTTTCCAAATATTGGAATGCATATAAAATATTGGAATGCATATAAAATAAGGTTGTTTGAAGAAGTGAATTAATTGTGAATTAAAGAAGAAATGGATTAAAAGAAGTGAAATAGAAGTGAACTAAAAATCGTTCTTCCTGGATACAGAAGAGCTATGTTTAAAGTGCTGCTCAATTTTTAAGGTAGTTGCTTTAGCATTTGATATTAGCCTGGTCTATTTCTCAAAACTATTTGATGAATAAATTGAGATAAAGTTATATTTAAAGCTACTCTTGGTCATAAGGGTAGGGCTGGGGGTAGGAACTCTAATGCTGACATTTTTATAAAAGTTTAATTATTAAATAAGTGAAATAAAATTGTGAAATAGTCTTTAGTTTCACAGTTACATTGGTGTTCATAAATCAAAAGTCCAATTTGTTAAAGAATTATGTAATTATTGAAATGTGGAAATTAGGTCAGCTGACTTTAGTGAATGTATTTTGAAATTGCTATTGTAATGGAAAAAGCTTAAAACAATTTCAAGAAATATAATAAATATTTAAGGACTACTAAAGTTCCGCATCCACAGTTTTAACCATTACATTCAAATCCCTGAACCTTTGTTGAATGATACCTTTAAATATAATCCTGGCAATATTTTACCAGATAAATCTCAGACAAAAAATTATACAATTTGAAGGTGCACTTGAATTTCTTTCTGTCTTTTTTAAAAGTTAATGCACCCTTACAGGGAAAGGAAAAACGTTCAACGTTATTTTTGCCAGTCTTATTTTAAAGATCAGAAACTCATTGAGTTTTCTTCAGCAACTTTATGAAGGGGAAATTTTCTTGAAGTAAGAGAGTTTTAAAAATAAAAAAGCATTGTGTTGAATAACAGTGTATTTGCAAAGAAAATAAAACACAAAATGTTAAGAAGAAGGCCATCAAAAATGTATATACAATAATGTGAATTTCAGTGAGCATTTCTTTGTGTTTCTAAACAGAAAGCAAATGCAGTTGGTTCACTTTCCCATGGATTTATTCTTCATATGTTTCAGTTTCCTGTAATTTTTTGTAGTTTGTGGCTTAGAATAATTTTTTGTGTATTCTGATTTATTAGAAATTTCTGTTCTCTGCTATGAATATCTATTAGGCTCATCTATACATTATAAGAAGACATAATATAAAATGTGTGGCTGGTTTTACTAATTTAGGCTTATGCCTCCAACCCCCATCCCTTCTATTTATCCACTACTAAAGTTTAGAGTTGTCATACAATTCAGCTATTTGGTGCTCATCTTATTACTTCATATTCATATTAAAAAGGAGAGAAACTTCATTCTCAGAGCTGCTGGAATCAAATGGCATATCAATTTAATATATTATTATGGTTAGTTGCACAGGCAGCCGATGCTTAGACTGCATTTAGCCTATTTACCCACCTATCAAGTCCTTCCCAAGGACCTGGGATCAGCAGATGTTTGATGGTATTATTATTTTGTTTGGTTTCACAGCCAGATGTTTAGTTTGGATTTGGCATTTTTATTATTAAATTCTTCCACTATTACTATTATTCTGATGTCTCTTCCTAATTGGGGAGGGGAAAACTTTGTTGTGAATACTGAGCAGCATTCATCATGATTATCTTAATTATAGATAAAATACATCAAATAATCTTACATAATTTGTATTTCTGATTTTTGGCTAGTTCTGATTAAAGAAGCATCTTTTTTGAGTTATCCATTCTAATTCTTTCACTTGGAATTGGATTCTGACTGGGCAGATCCAAGTGAGTTCCCAGGGCAATTTTATGATATTAATTGGTTTGAATTTGATTCTGATTACAATTGATTACAATGAGGAGAATAAGATCCTCTGAACTGTAACTTCATCTACCTGTTTTTATATCCAGACCTCTCTTGGCTTGAGAAGATGGCCTGGGAGGGGACCTGGGAGGGGACCATGCAATGGTGTCAGCCTCTTTGAGGGCAGAAACGATCCCTTTGACCTCAAAGGAGGTGATGGAATCCTTTTTCTCAAGGGGCACTCATGGACTTTGCCACTGGGACCCATTACTGTCCATTTTCCAATCTTCCCTTTATGGCTATTATTATATGTTCAGTTACCTTTTGCAGAGCTGGGATGGAAGTAGTGTATTCATTCTCATATTATTATTGTACTCTCAGTGTATTTTGATATCATTGGCTATGTTATCCTTCTGACTAGCCTGGGAGTTGGAAGTGGGGAACCTTGGGCTACAGTGATTTGCTTCCTTCTCAGTAGTCAGTTTTAATTGGCATTGAATAGGGAAGAGATTGTGCCCATAATCCCTCATTAATGGGGTACCTTAGGGTTCAATGTTCTTAACAGTTGCATGAAATTGCTTGGTTATGTTATCCATAAGTTCAGAATCTAGTATCATTATATTGTATTAATTGTATATACCAATTAATATAATCTACATGGCTGCACAAGGGAAGCTGTCAGTGTACTTATCCAATGTTTGAAAGCTGTTCAGGAGGAAACTAAGAGGAACACACTCAAGATCAATCCTGTCAAGACTGAGTGGCTGTGGCTGTTTGGGGTTCCCTAAATCTGGCACTTCATGGCTATCACTATAAAACAGTACAAGACTATTGTTCTTGGATGAGTTTTACTTTGGGAGTTCCCCTGCTTCGAATTCTTGCTCAAAGAAGTCCAGAAGGGCCTTTTTATAGGTCTGCCTTGTACAACAGTTATGTAAACTTTCTTCAGTTTCGAGGCTTTTCCAGTTATGCCCTATTCAATTCCTGATGTGACTAAACCATGTATACAGGATTATCCCTTGAAAACCATGCAGAATTGCAGCTGGTTCAATAGGCAGTGGCATAGGCAATAGTGGGAAATTCTTGTTATACTCATGGCTTAGAGACCTGCATTGGTTATCAAATGGCTTCTCAGTGAAATTCAAGTTACTAGTTGTCATTTATAAAGAACTTCATGGCATAGGGTTTAATTATTTGAGGGAGTGTATATTTCTAATAATTTCTATTCATTTAGTATAATTGCACAAAGTGGGTGTGCTTTGGGTGCCGCCAGTTAAACATTGTTATTTTGCATAACCAAGAATGCATGTCTTCTCTGACATGATTCTAGTGTCTGGAATAGCATCCCGCTTGAGATACATATATATCCACCCGTCAAATATTCTGAATGGCTCTGAAGACTTACTTTTTCTGATGCCTGGTATTAGGGTGTTCATGGAACTTTTGACAATTTTTGTTTGTTATTTGTATGCTTTATATAAGCACTGATATTTTTTATATTATATATTCTTTAGAAAGAATATGAGCTACCCAGAATGTTTTTGGAGTTGAGCTGCCTTGAAAACTAATGAATAAATATATAAATAATAATAATTATGCATGTGAACAATTTCAAAATGTTGTTTTTTTATTCTATTGTATGAAACATAATCCAAAGCATATTATTCAGAAAAGAGGTCATCTAATTACAAGATGACAAATATCTGTAAATAGTAGGAAAACAGAGTTACTACAAAGACTTGGGCCATATACACTTACTATTGATTCTGTTGTTATCAAGATGAAGATGCTCAAGATGGATACCAATAGCTGGGATTATGGTGAGTTCATTGTATGATAGCTGAAGATCAAGAAGGGATGAAATATTAAAGACTTTGCTTGGTAAACCTCCATCAGTTAATTTATTGTTGTTCAGCCGTAGGGAAACTAATGTGAGCATTGTTTCAAAATAATTTTCTGGTATTTCTTTAATAGAATTACTGTCCAAAAATAGCTGGATCACATTAGCAGGAAGGATTGGTGGCATTTTTGTAAGGGAATTTTGAGCAATGTTGAGTTGCATGAGACTGCTTAGTCCTTGGAAGGTGTTGCTGGAAAGAGCATTGTCCAACAGTTTGTTTTGACGTAAGTCTAACATAGTTAGGTTTTCCAAATTGTTGAAGACACCTTGAGGTATTGTACTGATTTTGTTTCTTGCTAAACGCAATTGTTCAAGGCTTCTTGGCAGGGGACCAGGCACTTCTTCTAAATAGTTGTCTTCCAGATACAAGTAGAGTAAACTTTTTAAATTGTTAAACACATCCTTTTCAATTCCATCGGTAGTGATTTTGTTATTGTTCAGATTTATCCATTTTAGTTGGGTGACATTCGTAAAAGACTTCTCTGTAATTTTTTCAATAAGATTGTTTTGGAGATAGAGATACCAGATTCTTGGTGGGATGGCAGGTATTTCTTTAATTGCCTTGCTATCACAGTATAAAGCATTTGGGATGTTTGGAGGACAGAAACATTCCTGTGGACACTCAAAACTATAAAACAACCAGTTGTACGGATCAGATTCATCATCCATTGTCCACACAATATTAGCTATGAAGGTTACCAAAAGGCTGGAACAAAATATTATATTCATAGTTTACCTTAAAAAGAGGGCAAAATGAAGTTACAGAATACATGTGCATCTTTTGTTTACAGCAACAAATAATATTAATTTTATAATAAAATTTGAAAATTTATATTTATTCTCATAAGACTAAAATATAGTGTTATATCATTTCTGTCTTTTTCCCTACCCCAACATTTATTTTTAAAAAAGTGTTGCTTAGTACAGCACTCTGCAGCTAATTTGTGCATCAGTCTAGAGTCTTGCTACTCAACTAAGCTGCATTCACATTCAATATTTGTTCAAAAGAAACTTTAAAAGACTCTCTAACTGGTACCAGATAGGTTTACCTGGTCTTACCCTTAACCTGGCAACATATTTATCTACAAAAAAATCAAACAAACAGTCAGTGATTGACACCATTGCTTTTATTGACAAATTTCCAGCCTTAGTCCAGTGATTCTTTAGAGAATGTTTGTATTCTGTGATGGGAAAGCATCTTGATCAGATTTTCTAGGTCAAGATCTTATTATACACAGAAAGAGAACATCCAAGAATATTAGAGCTGCTCTTTGGGCAAGTGTCCTCTAAGTGTGGAGAATTTTGTTTGAAAAATCTACTACTTTGTTTTAGTTATTCCCTTTGCTACAAATTATTGGTTTCTAAAAAAAATGTAATTACTTTGAAAACAGATTCTGTCTAGATCTTCACTTCTGTTGCTTGACATATAATTAGAATTCTTTGCCATGATCCATTCTTACAAAATTCACATTGAAGGTAATATTTTCCATTGCTGTATATCAAAAAATGAAGAAGCCAAATTTCTATTATATGATAACACTTTTACAATTCTCTAATAGTACATCTCAAATTATAAGAATCTTGATTGATAAAAATTAATATTTAAAAAAGGAGAGACCAGCTGGAAAAACACATACTGAAGTGCTCTAAATAATTAATTAATAACAAACAATATTAATGTTGAAAATTAAAGGGAGTATTAAAGAAACAGGAAAACAATATTCTGCTTTCTGAATGGTGGGAGGTGGTGGTGCTTGTGTTTGTATACTATTTCTCTACAACATGAAAACCAACATCACAATATTCTGTTAGGATTTGAAATTGATGGATAATTCAAAATTTCTAGGTATCATATAAACTCAGGGAGAGACACAGAGGGAAACTAAATAATTTTGAGGGAATACTGTAATTTATTAATACATTAATTTGACATCTCCTTCTTCTACATAAATACACATGCTTATTCCCAACATTTTCCTCCATAGGTTTGGTACAGGAGGTACCTGAAAAATCATTAAAAATAAATAACATTTTTCCTTTCAGTACTAGATGTATTTTCATTTCTCAGAAATTTGTAGCATTGAAGTCTAAAATATACAGGCACATCACCCCAAATACCTGACAATTTTTTTAAATTTAACACTGTTTCAGATTCTAACTTACCTCAGCTTCGATTCTCTTCTTTCTATGGTAACTGTTGCTAGACTATGTGAGATGATCAGGCAACAGGCAGTGTTTTATGAATACAACCTAATATATATATATATATGTGTGTGTGTGTGTGTGTGTGTGTGTGTGTGCGCGCGCGCGTGCTTGTGCAAATTTAACCCCTAAAATAGTTACTTACCTTAGCACTTACACAACAGAATACAGGAAATTCTGTATTTCCCATCAAGATGCCTTTGGAGTCATTCCCGGTAAATACTAAGCTCAAGTTTTAAAATAATGGACTGATTGTAGTAGAAATCAGTAATATTAATGCAGATACATTCAGATATTTGCATTCATTTTCAAGCTACTCTAATTAGAGAACAAAGAATTTAAACTAGTGCCATCTGTTCCTGTGGAAATCTTTTATTTGATTTTGATCAAAAACAGATGCAGGAATGCTTTTAAAGATATTATTCTTGATTAGGAAGACTAGAGAAGACAGTTCAGAAGTCTTGATGAAATATATTTGCTACTATTGAAAGAGTTTGATACAATAAGAAAAAAATATTGTTTCCAAAATAAGGACATTTTCTAGGATTAAAAGTTTGTCACATATTCTAAATTTTGCTTTTACAATCACTCTCCATTTATATTCTTTATGCTTAAATCATGTTAAGAATTTCTTTACATCTGCTTTCCAACTAAGGATATGTCCATGACACATGGGAGGAAGAAGAAATAGGACCAAAAATCATTACTATTAGCATAACCAGATCAATATCTCAGAAAATCTGTCTTTTTCATTGGCTGATTCAGCTGATCATGTAGGGTAAAAGACACTTATAAAAGCTAACTAGTCTCATTGAGTAAGATGTGGATTCATCTCATCTAGTACAATCAACACAGACTTGCAGCATTTTTCTAGGTTTTCATTACAGAACACCTGATCTAAAATTGAAGTAAACATTTAATGTTTGCCACTGCTGAAGAGGCCTACATGTTTCATCAGTAGTTGTTGAGAAGAAGGAACAGAGGTATATGGAGTCTGCTTCAACATTATGGAGGTCTAGGTTAATTAACTTTTGAAAATGCCTTATTAGCTACTGGATTCTTGTTAACCAGTACTTGCATGATCCTATAATCAACATCCAGTGCCTCTCAATAGAGACATTGAATTTAATTCCTCCTGCTATCTCCTTACCTCATGAGACTGACACTGTGAAAACATGATATCAATTATAGTGGTACAAAAACATCACATGAGCATTTTGCAGACTTCTAAAAGCCTTTGCATTATGATGCAGATAGATATGAACCGAATGGTTTCAGAAAAGCTAGACCAGCAAAAAATGGATAACGTTAAATAGACAATGAAAAGTAATAGAATATAAGAAGGAAATTTACTTTTGTTTTATTGACTATTGCAAGTTCTTGTACATATAGCACATGAGATAATGTGGAAAATAATAAGACTAGCAAAACACCTGATTATTCTCCTGAGAGATTTTTAAAATGAAGTTTAAAATAAAGAAGGGAATGAAGAGGATGCGTATTGACCTGACATATCTAATTTATATAGCAAGTATATAAAGAAAATGTATGATTGAAAGTGATGCCAGCTGGAATCAAATTGGAGTTCAAAATATTAACAATTTTTGAAATATACAAATGCATACAGCTAAGAAAGGAAAAAAGAAGTTAATGTGGAATTGCACAATTGAGGTAGAGTAAGATAAAGAAGATAGGTACCTTTCATTATGGATTTAATTACAGTTACTGTAGTAAGAGTATCAAAGAACCAGCTGGTCAATCCTGAATCAGATAGAAAACCCACAGGATTCAGTCTCAAAACAGGTAAAAGGTGGCCTCTCATTGAACCTGTAAGTAGTTCCTTAAAAGAACCAGTTCATTCTGTGCTTGCTTGGGAGATTTGTGGGCTTAGAAAAATAAGTGTAAGAGTTGAGTTAGACCCCTCACACAAACACAAATATGTACACATGCTCACCAAAATTCTTGTCTGTGTCCTTTTTGTATTCATAATGATACAATGATGATTTTTTTATTTTAAAAGTAATTATTTTGAAGAAAAAGTAGTCTTCCTTTCAGGTACGTCAAAATTCTTTATTCAAAGTTTTATGAGTACACTGTGTAGTAAATTTCAGGGAACATAAAGCTTTATTAATTCAGTTTTAAAGATAATATAGTGAAATAAACCGTTTTAATTAACGTCTCATGAAAATACAACTTTTATATTTGCAAGGTTGAGGCATTAAGCGGAGACACATTGTGTAAACAAGCTTCCTTTATTACTCTCTTCTTACTACCAACAATAACCAAAATGGCACGCAGGCCTTTTATAATGTCCCAGATCCGGACAATGTCAACCAATGATTGCAGAGGTTGTGTCCCGCCTTGCGCATCCACGCAAGGCTGGAGACAGCCAGTCTGGTCCCGGGCAGCTTTGGGTCTGCCCGGAACCCTTTGCAACATTTCTGACCCTGCTGAATGCTTCAGCAGGTCAGAACATAACACCCCTCCCCCCTGGATGAAACAATAATACCTTACTCTGTAACAGCACACATACTTGCATTCAAGGGATTGGAGGTTATTGTAAAGCACAATATGCCTGCACACAAGGAGGGCACTCTACCTTCTGCAAGGCCTAATGTTTGCAAGCTGTGAAGCCCAGTTACTTGGATTCCAAGGGCCTCAAATCAATTGAGTCCAATGAGACTCGTACGATCAACCCCAACTACCATCATGTCTAGTAGGCCTTCAAAAGCCTTTTTTTACTTATTTTATTCAGAAGTTATATTCTGCAGTTGGCAAAATTATTTAGCTACCATCACATGATGATCTTGTATAGAAAAACCTAGACAGAGAGAGAGCTGACCTGATTGGATCTAATCAGCCAGGCAGATAGGACAAGGCAGTCCCTCAAATAAACACACCTTGAACAGTATCCAAAACCCAACTGATAACAATGCAGCCTCCAAAGTAGTGGATCACCTGAATGAATTAGGATAGCTGTCCCTGCCCAGTTCATCAATTTTATACCAGCCATAGTTTTAAATATTTTTAAGTAATCCAAGCAGGATGTAACTAAGATATGAGTGACGGTAAGGAGAGTGTCTCAGTCCTGAAGTGGATGCAATTGATGCATGAGACAAAACCCGTCCTGACACAGCTGCCAACAGCTGGTTGAGAAGGAACTACTAGTTAAGGAACACTCTCAAACTGTGAATTACATTTAAATGGGGGAGTACAACTCCACATAGAATCATATATAGTACTTCTTGGAATCATTTGACCCATAAAAAAAAGCCAACCATTCTTGGAAGATACAATCTGATTCTATTCTTTCCTTCAGACACTGGGTCAGCACTACTGTGGCATCATCTGATAATAGTGAACCCTATTCTAATGAATAACATCCCATAGTAGTTTTATATAAACATTGTACAGAATCCTGAGGCACTTAAAACATCTCCAGGTAGGTCACACCTCCCCAACTAGAAACAGTATTTCAAGAAGGAGGAAAGCCATTATCATTGAGTACTCCCCATAGCAATCCAGGGAAGTGGTCCAAAAAATATATCATGGTTAATGGTATCAAAAACTGGAGATTAATGGAAATTCAGAGGGCTGCCTTCCTCTGATCCAGATCTTTCAAAGATAATCCACAATTCCAAATCTTAGGGGGGAAGCTGTTTCACAATACAGGCATCATGGTAGACAAGGCACACTTCTTGAACCCCACAAAATGACACTGCTTTACCAGTAGGAGCCAGAGCTTGCCCATGATACCTAATCTAGTGGGACATATAGAAACAATTGGGAAGAGGTGTTTCTGCAAATAACCTGTCACCATTCCTTGTAGGCCTTTTGAGATGATAATCAACACTTTGAATTGAACTTAGATATCTATTGGTAGCCCCTGCAACTCACATAGCAATGGATATTTGCCAAATAATGAATGTGCTGCTGAGTCCCAGACCAACTAAAGTTTCTGAATGCTTTTCAAGGGAATCCCCAATACAAGTAGAGAATACTTCAATAGTTCAATCAGGAGGTAACTAAGCTGCCATGAGTGATCATGAGCAATATCTTCCAACTGAGAAACAGCTATAACTGGTGCACAAAATGCAATTGTGCAAAGGCTGTCTAGGCTCTGGCTGCCATCTGCTGCATAAGCGGGAAGAAAAGACTCCAGGAGACACCCCAGATTATGAACCAATAAAAAAATCACTAGTTGTGAGGAGCTCTAAACCCCACCATCAGTCAGTTTAGGTAAATAGGACAGAGATATAATTGAGGTAAAATCAGCATACTGATAATACTTACCTCCATGGTGACAGATGACCTCACCAAATGGTTTAATGTAGAAGTTAAATAGAAATAGAAAGATAACTTAGCTATATGGTACCTCACAATTCAGGATCATATCATAATTGAGAGTATTACAGGCTAACCTGGCATTTAGCAGTATCAGACAAATGAAGCATGGACACTGAAGCTTTGATTGCCAAACTTCCATGTTATACCCAGTCTTGAAGTCTGTTTGCCAGTGATCCAAATGATCCACTTCAGTATATCACTGAGTTTTGAATGAACACCAATTGGACTGATACTTTAATATGAGTGTAAAATTGTGTGCAAATTAATACATGCATTTGACACACCAACAACGGAAAAGTAAACTGAATAAGATATGTTTTAAACAGTATCAGAAAACATAGCCAATCCAAGATATTTGGAAGTCTGAGTAGAATCCAAGAAATCTAATTTAGCTGAACTTTTAATTTCTATATTTATTATTCTGTTGATGAATAAGAATGTGGAAAAGGGATGGGTTATCTTTGTTTCAAAAAATGAATTAAAAACCACCTTTAGAAGAAAAAACAACATCTTGGCTGTCTGATATTTTGGGTAGTGGAATATCAGCTTTCTTAGAAGTTTAAAATCAAAAGGCAATATTTGGTGATGATGTGGCTTGGCTCCTGTTGAAGTCGAATAAAATTATAACAATATCCAGATAAATTTAGTTTCTTCCAAAAGTAGTCTGGGCAT